AAGAAGAAGCAAAAAAAAATATCTTTATATAAACGCCGATTCTGCAGCGAGATTCGATAACCCTCGCGAAATACGGGATTTGGAATAATTACAGGCTTATTACACGCGCACGGGGATATTTCACCCTCTCCTACCCCCTAACCCGAGCACCTCTCGGCAACCGAAACAGTTAAATTTCAATTTCGCAGACAGTCGAATTGATCACCGAACCGAACTATGTGCAAATCATTAATTACAAGGCGGAGTAATTCGCCCTTTTGCGCCCTTTCATAAGGGATGCACACGCCGTCTCGCCCTCTCGCGGTCGAACGGCCGCGGTTCATCGAACGACAGCAAAACTGCAGGCGATAAAAAAAAAGCATTGATTTGTTTATACAGAGGTCACAAAAATTCATTTCTGCGGGGAACATTTAGGAATACAACGCTCCCTATCCGCGTTTCTATTCCAGTAATAACATAATCTACCATTAAAGACGAGTTCATGTAGGAAGTGTGGGGCAATAAAGTCGCTTCGCAATAGAGCCACGTATCTACTTATAGAGCCTCAATTCTAAAGAAACCCGTAAAATATCATCCACTTGTAGCCGGCGCGGAATCGCCGCTTCCCCGGGGCCTTTTCGTGTACATTTAAAACTACCCCGTGAATCATTGGAAATCCGTTCGGACGAGGCATAAAAACGAAGAGGAAAATTCGAATTGCTCTAAGGTTTGTATAACCAACCCCCGAAACAGTGACGTGTTGCACGTAATTCGTAGCAACCAGCAATCTTCTTCGTTTTACCTAAATGTAATATAGAGTAATTTAAAGAGAACTGCGTCCGGTGCGGTTATGTCCGATCGGAAAATTGGATTTTTTTCGTTATGAGAAAGAGGTAATTTATCGGGGTACGGTCATGGGGGCGCGTGACGGGAATCCGCGAAGTCGACAAACAACCGGAGCAATAACACGGTGGTCAACCGAAATGGTCCTGGAAGCGATGGAACGGCGTCTTTGTCGCGCCGGGGAAAAAGATATAAAATATGCGCCGGGCGAGGAATACAAATGGTCCTCTCGCAGGACGGACGTGCCTGCGAGCGGGAATCCACCGAAATGGAGTCGTCAATGGGAGCCTGTATATAGGAACGTACAGCGGCAGAATAAATCGAGGAAAAAGTTAATTTAAGGAGCGCTTCTTATCAACGGGTCGCGCGGACCTTCTAAAGCTCTTCCACCGTTGAAAGGTCCACATATCTAACCGACTGCGCCAGTTAATAACGGAGTTATCATTCGCGATAACGAGGGTAATGAAACTGTCCCATTTTCGGAGCCTCTCTAATATCGAGCAGTAAATTTTCGCCCGCGCGCCGCTCTCCTATAGTTAACCTAAGACATTATACGGGAGGTACGCAGGGCTGGAGTCACCCCGGAAACCGATTTCGCGGCGAAAATGGATCTGGCACTTTATAATGACTTGCTTGAAGGTGGGTAGTATGTAATTAAAATCCTGCATTTTTTTGTTCAATATAAATTCTGGAATCCCTTATTGATTTAAGAGGTGTACACGATTTTTACAATCTCATATTCATATTCCCTCTTTTTTTGAAATCTTTATGATATTTGCAGAAAATTGGTCATTTTTTAATGCAAATTTTAAATTTTTGACTACTGTTCACTCTGTTTTTCACTATTTTTATGAACTTTGCATCAATTTGTTAATTTTTTAATGAAAATTTCAAAATTTTCACCCTCATTTTTTATCATTGTCATGAAATTTTCCTCAATTTGCTTATTTTTTTCATGGAAGTTTTAATGTTTTTACCCTCATTTCTCTCTTTTTTATAATTGTCATGAAATTTGCCCCAATTTGCTCATTTTTTTCATGGAAGTTTTAATGTTTTTACCCTCATTTTACTCTTTTTTACCCTTGTCATGACATTTGCCTCAATTTGCTCATTTTTTTCACGAAAATTTTAATGTTTTTACCCTCATATTTCTCTTTTTCTAATCATTGTCATGAAATTTGCACCAATTTGCTTATTTTTTCATGGAAATTTTAATGTTTTCACCCTCATTTCACTCTTTTTTATCACTGTCATGAAATTTGCCTTAATTTGGAAATGTTTTTATGGAAATTTTAATGTATTTACCCTCATTTCACTCTTTTTTATAATTGTCATGAAATTTGCCCCAATTTGCTTATTTTTTTATGGAAATTTTAATGTATTTACCCTCATTTCACTCTTTTTTATAATTGTCATGAAATTTGCCCCAAGTTGCTTATTTTTTTCATGGAAATTTCAAAATATTCACCCTCATTTACTCTTATTTTCGCCATTTTCGTTAAATTTGCCCCAATTTGCTCATTTTTTTCATGGAAATTTCAAAAATTTTACCCTCATTTTACTCTATTTTATCATTGTCATGAAATTTGCCTTAATTTACTAATTTTTTTCATGATAATATCAAAATTTTCACCTTCATTTACTCCCTCTTTCGCAATTTTCATGAAATTTTCCTTAATTTGCTCATTTTTTCATAAAATTAAAACATCACACTTCTAACCAAAACATACCAAATTCCACCCTGTCTTCTGAAGTCTCGTTAAATTTTATTCCTCCAACATTAGGGGTCGAAGTAAAATTTTTCCTGCACTCCGACGACGCCATTACATTTACTCGGTTCCTCGACAATTCTCACATCGCATTCGTACCCCGTGAAAATTCTAATCGAATCGCCGCGACGCGTCTTAACAGCAAACAATATTCCCTCGCCCGATCGGAGATGCTAATTGGCATCGCGAACCATCGGAAAATTACGAAATCCACGCAGTCCCGCGTATAATGCACAATCCGGTGCATCCTCAGCGATATTTACAACGGCTACTTCTGCTTCAAATCGAGTTAAACTTCCGGTCAGCCGAATTCGAAGTGATTCCCGTGGATTTAGCCAGATAAGTTTATCGGTTCGATTACTGGGCCCCTAATTGCTAACCTGGTTTCGATTCGACGAGATGATACAATCGAATTGTTATTTCGTTTCCTTTCTTATCCTCCGTCTTCTCCGACTACTCCTCGTTTTTTTTTTTGTTTAATTTATTTTACTCTCATTTGATTTGGTGCAATCGGGGTTCGTTTTGAAGTCGCCTACAGTCGATCAACATTAACCTAAGAGGTTTTTTTTAAAGAAAAGTGCTCGAGAGTATTCGCATAATGGAATTATTTTGTAGTAAGTACTACAAAACGAACCGTAGGTATAAGAGTATAGGGTAGGAAAAATCCTAACGTACCTACCCAATATGTATTTATAAAAAAATCTGGTATTCGCTATTAGTCGCAATGTCTCACGACAAGCCGTAATCAATCTTATTTTTTCTTCCGCTCTCCCCAACAACACTTTCCGTTCCGAAAGCCCCTCGACCGGAGTTTCTGATTAAGAAGTGAAGTTATTTCCCGGGGCCAGATAACGAAAAAAATCGATGGGGCCTTTTCTGCCGTGCGACGGAACGTATCGTTAAATCGCGCAAATTGATTCGTAATTTCGGCCTGGATGATATTTCGTAATTTATTTTTCCAGAGGCTCCGACGGAAATTGCCCCGTTTCCTGGATATTACGCTCGACTCGCGCCTTTATTGTAAAAATACGAGCCCGCTGAAGGCAACAATGATAGACAATTCGGGTGTACCGGGTGCATAATATGCAGATAAAAAGGAGTTCCACCGGACGGTTAAGTTCGCTTAAAATCAAACGGATAATTCCGTTCTGTTCGTCGGAAAAATGATAAGTAAAACAGCGGGCGGACAAGCGGAGACGTCGGTCGGAAGGTTTTCCCTTTCGCGTAATATTTCGAGCAACATGCAAGCCACATACACTCGCACTTATTTGCATATTTTACGCGCATGGACGCTCCGCCGGAGACGTTTTTACCTCGGCCCGTCGTCGATGCGAAAGCGACGCCACGCCGAGCGTGGATTTTCGTTTCGGAAAGCGCGCTAATTCGGGCGAAAGGAAAAGAAGACGGTACGGGAATTAGCGGGGGAATCCCGACGAAAAAATTAGAGAGAATGCGGAACGAAGCCGTTGTTTAGCCGCAATTTTTCTAAAACGACCGACTAAAAATTGCTCGAGGACGAATCAGAATTGTCGAGAACCATTTAAAACTGTCTAAAATGATTTAGAACAGTCCAGAATCCTTAAAACTACTTCAGGATGATTGAGAATTATAGAGAACCTTTACCTTTAGGAACTGTTTAGATTTTAGAACATTCTTAAGCGAATTTGAACTGTTTAGAACAATTTAGAAATATCCAGAATGATTTAGATTACATCAGGAGAGATGAGAATTATCGATTTTGAACTGTCTAGAAATCATATAGAACTGTCCAGAATGATTTAGAACACTCCTGAACGAATTAGAACTGTCTAAATCAATTTAAAAGTGTCCAGAATCATTTAAATTGCTCCAGGACGAATCAGAATTGTCGAGAACCATTTAGAACTCTCCTCAATAATTTAGAATTCAATTTTCTATTAGAAATACTGATCGACTTAGTTATTGAAACTATCACACTAAACTAAATTCAATTAATCTTATTAAAAATAAAAAAAAGTATTTTACCCATTCGTCCTTGTTCGATTCCCTCTCCGATTGCGCTGTTGCCGATATTTAGCGGAATATGTATGTATGTACGAAAAATTCCGTATGTAGGAAACGGTAGATTCAATCCAACCGGACAAGATCGTTATGGATTTATGGATTTATGGACATTGTTATCTGGCGATGCACCCGGAATAATACGAATGCCATTTGCTCGACAGGATGGGTGATCGAATAGAGACGAGCGCGTTATTTATTGTTCAACAGGAAGTTGCGGAAATGCCAAATCGAGTGACGGTTCACGTGGAAGAAATGGAAATAAAAATAGGTTGTTGCCAAATTTCGACTTACGTTCCGGTGCAAATTTTATCTAAAATCCATTATGAGCGGTTATAAATTTATTGTTATTGCTTCCGTGACCGTATACGCAATTCGATTCAATTAAAATTCTCATTTTTTTTTATTAATAGTTCTGTTGTGCACAAAAATGCGTTCGATTCAAATTGTAATACTCTCTATTTTTATAAGTACAGTTCGGGTAAGTTTTACTTATCCAATATATCTAGTGTTACAAATTAATAAGTAAACACTGGATTTTTAGTCGATGACATTGAGAGAACGATTGGCAACGACGATGATAGAGTGTGAAGATGAATCGAAAATAGAGTCTGATGAACTAGTGGCAATTTACGAGGGAAATGTGCCTTACACCAAGGCGAGCTTGGAGTTCTTATACTGCTTCGGCTGGAAAATGGGGTTCGAGCTAACGAATGCAAACTCGCAACGTTTAGCAAACATTATTGAAAAATTGGGATTATACAAAGGAGACGTCGCCGGTTACGTGAATAAATGCTTGAAGGACATCGATAATTCCTTCGATGGACGAGAAAACGTGTACACGATGCTCAGTTGCTTAATAGCAGATTATTATAAAGAGAAATTGAAGTTGACAAAACAAGAAAACGTTCCAAGAGATCCAAGAGAGCAAGCTCTAGACGAGGTCGATTACTTGAACAAGTAATAAAATAGTTTCAAATTAATTCGAGTTAATTTCGAATCCTTTCCTCATAATTATTATTATTAGCTATTTTCTAAACGCTTTATTTTCTGTTCATCCAGTCAAGAAAATCTGGATTTACAGAACCGTATATAACAAGTGAACAAGAATCTAACTTTTAACCATTTAAATCAGGAATACTAAAAGAATGTTTCGAGTTCGAGTAAACGTAGATAATTCAGATCGTTCGATTGTTTATTTCGTTGACCTTTACTTTCTTCGACGATCGTCGAAAACTTTTTGAAGAGTAATCTCCTTATTCGAGTTATACACACACAAACGTCGACGACGCTAAAAAGTAATCTTGAAGTCGAAAATCGCCGATATTTCTCGTCGGAAACGACGAGTAAAAACGGCTTTTCTTTTTCTCGTTTTCGTCTATTTTTTTATCGGTTCCTCTTACTTGCTCCCGCTCTCGCTTGCTCGATCTCATTGGGCTCTTTAAATAAATATCGCAGAATTGGAAATGATTTTTGTTTGATTCGAATTTGTGCTTTTCGTTGTATATTGACCCGCTCGATTCGATTTGCCCGGATTTTTAGTTTGTTTAACCGCAGTTATCAACTTTAATAACTTAGTTAAGAAACGAAGGGATTGTATTGTTTTCGTTCCAATCGCCGAGCACGAATTTCGAATTTATAACAGTTTCTGTACGTCTTGTTTCTCCCCTATTTTTTTTTTTATTAAACTCTATATGATAGTTTCGTAGGGTGTACGGTCTGTACGAGTTTAGGGATTGAAAAGGAAAATAGAAGAATCATGGTGGAGAGGTAATAAAAACCAGCAGGACGAAACTAATCTTGAACAGAAACGCCGAGGCCACGGGCCCTCCTCTCTATACTCAGAAATCCATTAGCATGTCAATGAAGAATATAATCGATGACACTGGAGCTCCGATTTATTCCCTCCGGTTTTTTGGAAAATCCGCCGAACATTTTTATCTTCTTTAGTAAATTTATCGGCGCCTGGATCGGATACCTTCGGCCATATATTTCTTTTTTACAATTGCTTTTTGGATCACCGATTCAATTGAGACTTTATTCTTTTAATTTATTTTCGAGGAGACGCTCCTTTGATTTATGACGGGCTCTTTTTTCCGTCTTGTTTCGTTTCGTTCTTCCGGTAGTAATAAAATATTACGGAAATCGTTGGATTATTCTCGGAAATTTTATATACGTATAATTTTATACGGCACCAAAAAATAATTATACATAACTGAGTACCTATAATAGCTTTAATTTTAGCTGAGAGTAGCGTAGTTTTGGGGAATTCCTGAGTGGGATTATTGTATCATGCAGGTAACAAAACTTTTAATGGAAAATTTCGATTTCTGATTAATAGAAGAGTTACATCACCGCAAATAAACTAGCCCGTTACGATGGAACAGATTGAATAATTTCGTCTGATTAATCTCCGTCGAGAGGCATATTCGGCGCGATTAATTAAACATTAAGTGCCTTTCGAATTTCCGTTTTCCCCCCGTTTTTCATCGAAAAAGCGCAAGGGGGAATAACACCGGAGCAGAAACCACCCCTGCCGTAACCGGCTCCCACTCTAATGCCTCCGCTTAATTTAATCGGACGGGCGAATGCAGGAAAAAATCGCATTATACAGACGGACATCGGCCGCTTTGTTTTTCCGAACGGCAAAAAAATCGCACGATTAATTTCGTTATAGTTCGTACTATTTCATTTCCCGTTCCTAAACGTTGCTGGGGAAAGCGCCAGAATAAATTTCCTTTAATTCCGCCGGATCTATTTTCTAAGATAAACAGTAGAAAAGGCGCGGGCGTATCAAAAGATACGCCGGTGCTCCTAAATTTTCCGTAAACACTTCATTAGAAAAGAGCCAGGCGTCGCCCTTAATTCGCGCCGAGGTGACTGGGTATACGAGAGAACGAGAGGGCTGCATCTCTCCCGGCTTGATCAATAGAATCTTTGACTCGACTTTTCCATTTCCTCGGCAACATCTACAAGTCAAGTAGGGCCGATTCGATGAACTATTGTTTCGTTGTTGCGAAAAAGTGTTTGTTTGTTCTTCGAGAAAAGGGCTGAAGCGCCTTATTCGAGCCAGAAACACAAACAAAACGCTTTCGCCCTATTTATATACAAAAGAATATTACGTTATATCTATGTATAGGATTGTCAATTGGACGTTTTTTTTTTCATTTCTTACCCGTTTAAATAATCCCGGTTAACTAGCTACAAAAAGAAGATAATTTAAAACAACAATACAGTCGGTTCCGTTTCGTTTTATTAAACTTTATGAGCTACAATTCCATTTAAGTCGAGCCCATAAAACCGTCCTAAATAAATAACGGTTCATCTCGCACGCCACTGAGTGTCGTTGCGCGGCCCACTTGTTAAGAAACTTTATTGCTATACGGCCGTTTTTCCGACCGAAGGAAACGAAAGGAAAAACTCGCGGAGTTTGTTCAGGTACGACGCGGAAGTTCATTATTCCCCCTTTTTTTTTAACGGCCCTCAAAGTCGGTTTGTGGAACGCATAAAAAAACAGAGTCATTCGAATAATGTTAGAGAGCAGAAACAAGGCTAATTTCGGGAAATCGCTGCTCGAAAAACTCGACTAAACGCCCCGTAAAATATTACATTCTACTCTACTCTCATCTACTCTCATCTACTCTCATCTACTCTCATCTACTCTCATCTACTCTCATCTACTCTAATCTACTCTCATCTACTCTCATCTACTCTCATCTACTCTCATCTACTCTCATCTACTCTCATCTACTCTCATCTACTCTCATCTACTCTCATCTACTCTCATCTACTCTCATCTACTCTCATCTACTCTCATCTACTCTCATCTACTCTCATCTACTCTCATCTACTCTCATCTACTCTCATCTACTCTCATCTACTCTCATCTACTCTCATCTACTCTCATCTACTCTCATCTACTCTCATCTACTCTCATCTACTCTCATCTACTTTCATCTACTCTCATCTACTCTCATCTACTCTCATCTACTCTCATCTACTCTCATCTACTCTCATCTACTCTCATCTACTCTCATCTACTCTGAACAACTCTCATCTACTTTCATCAAATTTTTCAGGTATTCAATTAGGTAATATTATTTTTCTGTGGGGAATTGTAGTATGGGATTAAGGGTAAAGTATCACCCAAAAAGGGCTTATTATTTTGGTGCAACGGGTCAAATAATAGATACAATGTTTGCACTAGACCATAAAAAAATCATTATCTGATGCGAATGGGGTGATATTTTGGCATAAATATCGGTTTACTGTATTTTTAGGTGGTATTAAAAGGGGGATGTAAAAATTTTAGGCAACAATGTCCAATCGTGGCTTCTTCTTTGGAAAATCCGGTTCGCCCGCTTTTATTAATCGAATGTAAAATTTTATCGTCGTAAATATAAAGTATCTTAAATATAAATCGCTTTAAAACGTCAGTTTGGGTAAACAAAGAATCTTCAACCCTTTTTGGCCTAGAATTCGCGTTACGTAACATTCTAATAACCTTAAAACCTTATCTCAACAAGCCCTTCGTCATGCCTTATTCTTTAACACTTTTACAACCCGAATGCCAGTAGTGTACGCTTTTAATTCAACCCATTCCTTTGCCTACCATACTTTATTCATTTTTACCTTAATTGTTTCAAACTAGTACTACCAATAGAAATTCGACAAGTACTCTCAATAATCATCTTGTTTGATAAATGTGAGTTACGAGTATGGAATAAAGTTCGAATACCGGCACGTAGTATGTATTTTTGCAACCCCCCAGCCGGGCCGAGGCCGAGCCCCTGCAAAAATTAAGATAGTAACGAGCTAATTGCAGTCGAGCAAGACAAAGCGCGAATTTATTTTCTCTTTTCGGTCGAGGCACCGCTAACGAATTAGTTCATTTCTTTTGTGCCTCTTGCTCCCTAATGAATTTGAAATATTATTCGCGAATAATTGTCATTTGTTTTGCTAAGTGAGCCAATTTCTCTAACTAACAGCCGAGGTTTTCGAGAATAAGATGAAGGATGAAGAAGCCACCCTAATTAGGGTCCGTATTGAATTTTATTTTTTGGCTTGAAATTCGCGTGTATTTTGTAAGTATTTATATGCAGCGCCGGGGTAATTGTACAGCCCCTAAATATGCGGTTAAATATTTTTCGCTTTCGAGAGAATTATTGTTTAGTGCATCGAGCTTTCTGGATTAAAAGTAAGGGGTTGTAAATTCGTTGGCTGCGCGAACATATATATTCCTTATCGCGAAAAATAAATTACGCTCTCTCCCCCAGGGGGAGATACTCTTTTTGAGTGTGTATGTTAATTTATCGTTTCGTTGAAATTCTACCGGGATTCGTTAATAATTTATCTTATGTAATTAAATTAATAGATACATATTTTTTTCCGTTTTGTACTTGTTACTTTGTTATTAATAGTAGGTTGTTCAATGCGCTTTATATTTAATTCATAACGAATAAATTCATAAATACGAATAAGCGATATTCAAATATAATGAATTTCTTATTGCAAATTCAACCGGCGCACATTTCATTATGAAAATTCCATCGCGGTTTTGAATTATCGATCACACCCCGTACTAACGGGGAGGGGAAAACGTCTCGTTTTTCGAGAATATGTTAATTTATTATGCGGACGTCGGTATTTCAGCCAGTAGTTTCTCTTGGTTACCTTAATTACTGAAACATGTAAATAAACGTCATTTGAATATGAAATTTATCGGATTCCCAGACGGTCGAGTCGCTACCGGAAATACGTATGACTTCATTTGGCTTCCCCATTTACAAAAGGGACCGCCATTGAACCACGTACTTTAATTATTAATTTCTATAAACACCATATAATTGCACTTAATTTTTTACTTTATATTCAGCACAACCCCCTTTGATATTAATATCATCACGTAGACCACAAATCTTGTAAAATAATGGAGTGTAGAAGAGTGTAGAAGAGTATAGAAGAGTGTAGAAGAGTGTAGAAGAGTGTAAAAGAGTCTAGAAGAGTGCGGAAGAGTCTAGAAGAATGTAAAAGAGTCTAGAAGAGTGTAAAAGAGTCTAGAAGAGTGCGGAAGAGTCTAGAAGAATGTAAAAGAGTCTAGAAGAGTGTAAAAGAGTCTAGAAGAGTGTAAAAGAGTCTAGAAGAATGTAAAAGAGTCTAGAAGAGTGTA